GAAATAAAACAAATTATAATTATAGTCATAAAAAAAACGCAGACTGAAAATTGTAGTGTTCCCTCATATTGGTCGTCAGTGGAAAAATGACTCATTGCACTAATGATCAGCAAAATTATCCCTTACATTTGTGGTCAGTAAGAGAAGGACTGCCGTATATATATGGTCATTGGTAGAAGGACCACTTTACACTAGTGGTCATTGGGAAAAATGCCCCTTACATTGGTGGTCATTGGGAAAAATGCCCCTTACATTGGTGGTCATTGGGAAAAATGCCCCTTACATTGTGATGATTGGGAAAAATGCCCCTTACATTGGTGGTCATTGGGAAAAATGCCCCTTACATTGTGATGGTTGGGAAAAATGCCCCTTACATTGTGATGATTGGGAAAAATTCCCGTCACATTGGTGGTCATTAGAAAGAATGCCCCTTAAATTGATGGTAAGTTGGAAGAATGCCCGCTCACAGATAGCTGAATAGATCATTGGTGTCAATGGTTACCTATTTTGGGAGGCAGAAATTGCTCAAGGAATCCCTAGCTACCACTGATGCAACTTTAGAATTCCAGGGAACAGCTTCCTATTAGTTGTCACTATCTGCATTTTATACACAGGAATGGGAATATTTAGAAGATCACGATACCCTTGAGAAGCAGCTGGACATTGTAGAAGGCCGTAGGAAGAAACGACAGACTCATGTGTCAGGTAAGAAAAGACTTATTGAAACAGATAACTGGAAACTAGCTGTAAAATAAAAGGCTAAGACCTGTTGGCGTTAAAGTCCATAGTAGTTAGGCTGAAAAAAAAAGACAAAAGTCTATCTAGTTTAACTAGTAGAAAATAAAATACATAAATATCCATATACAGAACCCTAGCTGAGCCAGAAGACAAGAAAATCCTACCGCATGGTCCAAAAATAATTCTTCCTGATCCCCTAAGCTAATGAAATTAACAGTCTGTAGTATTTTTACTTATAAGTGTTAATAGCCCTTTAAATTCTCTTCATTTAGGAATGCATTTAGTTTCTGTTTTTTTTCAACTGAGCGGACTACAACTAGTTCCTGAGGGAGTCTATCCTACATTTTCACAAATCTTATTGTGAAGAAGCCTTTCGTGTATATGGAGGTTAAACCTCTCCTCCTCCAGACACGAAGAGTGCGTCCTTATCCTTTGTAATGACCTAAAAGTGAATAGCTTTGCACCACAATATGAACAAAATATGTATGTACTGTATACATGGTAATCATACCCCCATATTGTCCTCTCCTCTAGAAAGAATACATTCAGTTCAGCTAAGGATTCCTCATAGCTGAGATCCTCCATGCTTCCTGCCAGTTTGGTTGCCCATCTCTGTACTCCCTCGAATTCCCCAACATCCGTTTTCTGAACTGGTGCCCAAAAATGAACAACATATTCCAGATGAGGTCTTATTAATGCTTTGTACAGGGGCAGGATTATGTCTATACCTCTATACATGGATGATGTCTCTTTTTCTGGAGTCTATACCTCTTTTGTTACAAGTATTTTGCTTGCTTTATAAACTGTAGCTTGGCATTACATGCTGCTATTGAGTATGATCTACCAGAACACCAGATCTTTCTTGATCATTGACTCCTCCAGTTGTACTTCCCCTAAGAAGCCCCCTATGTGATAACAAATAAAACGTGACAGGTCCTCTTTACGGAGACATCCGGGGTCTTTAAGACCCCTAATGTCAGCTAGGGACCCCCAAAAAAGCTGACGAAGCACAGATCTGCATCATCAGCTTCTCTCCAGCTTCTGAAACCGGAGAGTGACAGCAGCATGCGGAAGCGATGTAATAAACAATCGCTTCCTCCATTCTAACACTGGAGAGGAGATCAGAGGGAGATTGTGTGCTGATCTCCCTCTGATCCCCTGTCACAGAGCCGTTGTGCCGGTCCCGGGACAACGGGGCACAGCGGAGCTCGTGACCAGAGCTGCGGAGGCAGGGGGAAAGCTGAAGCAGTCGCAGGTTGGCTCTATCAATCGGGAACTCAGTGAACACGTACCGCCGTTGGCTGAGTTCTCGATCCTCTCCCTGCAGAGAGCGGGGGCTGTCAGTCTCTGCTCCCTGCAGGGATTCCCCCCTCGCTTCTCTGTTTCTCTAGCACTGACTGGAAGAACAATGGGGAGGTGGCGGGCACAGCTGGCTCTGCCTCTAGATAAGCCAGTGGGGTAGATCTCGACAATATTGTCGGGATCTGTCCCAGCTGCGGCGCGGCTTTGCACGCTCAGCATATAGTGGGCAATAGCCTGCTATATACTGAGTTTTGGGTCACCGGGGACATTAGTATACAGTATGTCCTCCTGTGACCCTAAAGAACACTATGACCAAAAAAGGTTAGCCCATAGTTCTCTCTTACTCACTACTCTCTGAATGCCGTTTTTAGTCCAGTTTTCTATCCATTTACATACTGAATTTTTTACACCTATAGATTTTAAGTTACACATTAGCCGTGTGTGGGGAACTGTGTTAAGCGCTTTTGCAAAGTTCAGGTATGCTATATCACAGCCATCTCCTAAAAACTTAGCAGATTTGTTTGACAACTTTGGTCTTTTGTAAATCCATGCTGACTATCTCTTCTATGTAGTCTTTTAACAAACTTAAGTATCTTCCGAACCATAAAAGTTCAAGCAGTCAAAAAAGAATCTCCCAAAATTGTAAACAATGGCTTTGAAATAGGAGCTTGACTCTCAGAGGACACATGGGTGAAAGCCATCCGGTCTGGGTGCTTTATTCACTTTTATTGTGTCTAACTGTTTTTGGACCAGTTTTTGGGCCATCATGGTTCACTTCAGGCTGTGACATTACTATCCCCATTATAGACTCGAGATCTAACGTTATGCTTTGTAAACACAGAGCTGAATTAATACTTCTTTTGCATGTGGATAGGTGGTGCTGGTTCCAGTTAGGCTATTCTCAGTCATGAGACAGCTTGTTTGGGCTTCCAAAGTGACAAACCAAAACCATACAACCTTCATCAGGACTTAGAATTCTGTATATAGTGGATGAAAAATACTTTTTTGGACCTCCAAACACCCTGACGTAACCTCATCTGAACCTGAGTGTACCCCTTTACCCTCTGTTGTCCTGTCTGTGTTGTGTGGTGTCGTTGTCCGTTATCCTACCTGGCTGACTCTGAGTCACGTTAGTGATAGTATATCTACTGCCACCTCCGGAAGCCACGAGGTCTTGAGTACTACTGAAGGTACTTGACATACATTCTATTAGCCTCTTAATGTAATATCTTCGGTGCTTAACGCTTTACTATCCCAAATATGAAGACAGTAACCATGAAAGGATATAGACTGAATATTAATTTGCAAGGATATATACTAAATATAACTAATCTAATACTCCCTGAAGACCTCTGATTCCCCGGATCTAATGCCATACAATATGATTACCTAGAAATCTGTAACCACCCCATACATATGTATCAAGATGTACCTGCATAATACTGCTACATGTCCTTCTATTGAGATAATGGTCTGCGCACCATGTTGTGTAATGTTTCATTCTGATGGATGTACTGTGTGTTAAAATAATAAAAACATTTATATGGAAAAATACTTTTTTGAAATTATTAAATCTGAAATAAATAATCTCTTAATGGTGTTCCAAACTATTAGCAGCTGAAGCTATTTTATTTTGTCTGTTTCAGAATTTATATCTTCAGCTTTCTTTCTGGGATAAAGTTAAAAAAAATAAAGTAAAGGCCTAACATATTTCCACATGCTTCCTCTGCTGGATGTTTAGGCTTTATAGCATATGGCTGGTAACCATAGAAGGGGCCTGCAGCAGCATTTTTTCTAGGAGAGTGAGTATATTTAGGCTCTTTTTAATGACTCTTAAGTTATCCATCCCAGCAAAACTGTACTATTCATGTAAAGGTCCGCTTTAGTTATTACACTGATATTCAGAAGGGACAAAGTACAGATATAAAACAAGATGAGATGGAGGCTAAGCCCTGAGAATCTTATATCACTTTCCCTTTCCATATTCCTCCCCTCAGGATAATGACTGTGCCTCTTACAGCTAACTGTCCCCAAGTCTATGGTATCCTGGGGCTTAAACAGAACATGCCTAGTGCACTTGGCAAGGACATTAAAACCTTTATCATCGTAGCAGAATATCTATCACTATATGACAGGTACATTTTATACAGACATACTATTTGTTTCTTGATTTATGATTCTTCCACCTCCAACTCTTTTTATTTTATTTCTCTCAAGCAGTGTCATCGACAAGCAGTAGCGAGTCTCCAGTGATCCACCAAGCTTCCGTTCCTGTGTATATCAGCAAAGACCGAGGCATCATTACAGTCAGTCCTCACAACTCCTCCTTCAAAGTGGTTCAAGGCAGCTCTAAACCCACCATTGTCACAGCCACCGCCTCGCCAATGGAAGGCTTTAAGCTCCCTGAAATTTACATTCACATTCCAACCGATCAAATTGACTACGAGCCCATTCCGGACAACTTTACCTCTTACGCTCCAGAGAATTTCCCGAGCTCGGACATGTGCAAACCCGTGGTTCATAGTGTTGAAACCTCCACGTCTGGCATCGGAGATAATCTGAGACATGTGGATTTCATGGCTGTTAAGATTAAAGAAGAGCCAGGAGATTGGGATGAAGAAAACCTTGGAGTACAGGAGGAGGGGGAACCTCCTCACAGGTCAGAAAGTGATCTTGCATTGTATACAGAAAGTAATACTGGGTCCAATCATGTAACAGGTTTGTATATTCCTAGCCACATAAAGCAAGAGCCATCTTCATATGAAGAAGGACATCTGGCAGATTCTGATATTGCTTCAATGTCACACTACTCCCAGTTACAAGAGCTGTCAGACCCTTGCGCCGATGAGAACTTTACAAGTACAGATGGCATGCTGACTATCGGAAACTCACATGTGCACTTTGTGTCATCTCGCATCAAGGAAGAAACCGAGGATGGCACAACATGTGAAGAGGATGTTATCATGGATGCAGCCAACAAAGGCATGTCTCCTGCTTCTTCATTCCTGAGAGCACACACTGAGGATGTCCCCTACAAATATTACTTTGCACATTCCAGCAGCTCTCAACTAGAAACAGACAATCCAGAGAAGCCCTTTTCCTGTTCAGAATGCGGTAAGTGCTTCAAATACAGCAATCTTTTGATGCATCACGCCAAGTCCCATCAGAAAAAGCCCCTGATCTGTTGCGAATGTGGGAAGCAGTATTCATGCAAGACAGAGTTTGAGATCCATCGAAGGATTCACACAGGTGAAAAACCCTTTGTGTGTTCAGAATGTGGGAAGGGCTTCAGGAGGAAGTCTCACATGTTGCGCCATCGGCGGATCCACGGAGAGAAACAACTCTTTCCGTGTCCAGAATGCACCAAGTGCTTCCACCGTTTAGATGTGCTCAATCAGCACCGTAAAATACACAGAGCTAACTTGCCAAACTCTGATATGGAAAACCTGCATGCAAGTAACATGGACAACTCACAACCAAACAACCATGAAGAGATACCAACTCAAAACACATCTACAGATTGTGAGGAAAATGTTGGCTTTGCCTGTCCGGACTGTGGTAAGTGTTTTCATTCTTTGCATGTTCTCGAAGAACACCGTAAAATACACCAAGCCAATTCTTCCAGCTCTGACTTGGAAGACCCTGATAACATGGACCGCATGGAAACAAATGGTCAAGGGGAGTCGCAAAACCCATCTACGACATATGAAGAAAAAGTTGGCTTTGCTTGTTCGGAATGTGGGAAATGCTATAATGAAATGTCCCAGCTAGAGAAGCACCAACGAGTACACATGGGAGAAAAGCCATTCTCGTGTACTGAATGTGGCAAATCTTTCAGGTTTGAGGCCCTTTTGGAGCTCCACTGGGGAAGCCACATCGCCACAATCTCCTGTCCCGAGTGTGGCAAGAGCTTTGCCAGCCAGAGCCTTCTAAACTACCATCTAAAGGTCCATGCAGGAGCCAATGAGTGCGTTTGCTCAGAATGTGGAAAAGAGTTCCCTAGCCGGTCGCAACTTGTTGACCACTACCGGACTCATACCGGAGAGAAACCTTACATGTGCCCTGACTGCGGAAAGTACTTTAGGCGGAAGGCGCATGTGGTCAGGCACCGCAAGATTCATGCAGGAAATAAACCGTACTCTTGCCTCGAATGTGGAAAGTGCTTTGAGAGCCAGGAATTTTTGAGCCGCCACACCAAAATGCACCGGCGTAAAAGGCCACACTCGTGTTCTCAGTGCGGCAAAAGTTACACAAAAAAGTCTCACCTTTCCCGCCACCAGCGAACCCATGCTAAAGAAACGCCATACACGTGCGCCGAGTGCGGCGAGTGCTTCCAATACCCCGCCCTCCTGAATCACCACTTAAAACTCCACACCGGCCAAACCAGCTACGACTGTCCTGTGTGCGACAAGAACTTCAGCTCCCGGTTGGCACTGGCTAGACATCAGAAGACCCACTCCAAGGAAAAGTCTTTTATTTGCATGGAATGCGGAAAGAGTTTTACCTTCTACTCTCACTTTATGAGGCATCAAGCCACTCACACAGGAGAAAAACCCTATGAGTGCCAGGAGTGCGGAAAGCGCTTCACCCGCGATGCACACCTTGCCCGTCATAGGCGAACCCACAAAAGTGGAAGAGCTTCACAAGTTTGAGTTGACAGGGAAAAAAAACTGGTTTAGATGACAAATTATTTATTACCTTTCTTAGTTTTATGTTGTTGAGTTATATGTTTTCTGTAGCATGAGATACAATGATTTTGGTCATTTTTGTGTCTGTTTGGAATCTAAAATAGGGACTTTGTTCAAAGGGACCAGCAAACTATTAACAGTAGAGGACACAACAAGATATGGATCAAATCCATCCACTGGCAGCCAGCGAGGTCACACATGATGGCATCTTGAGACTGACTTCATAGAGATTAGAATGGCCACAATGTATTGTTGAAATATTCCTTCTTGTTTGTATAGGTGGTCCTCGGAGCTTTCAGTGTCCCCGGTGCTATCTAGAATCTTTAGTTTTGGTCAAAATGAGGTTGTATATGTCACTATGGGAACGGTGATCAATAAACTGAAGCCATACACAGTTTGTAGGTAATCAAAATGGATTACACTGCAGTGTCCATTGTCATTCTTTAGTTGCCTAGATGTTTTACTCCGACAGAGTGTGATGGCACATTCTCCTCCTAAAGATATTTTGCACTTCCCTGGATCATTTCTGTTCCCCAAAAGCGTCTGCCCATTCTCTCCTGGTGCTTATGAATCCATAATAACTTTGGCTGTGAACTTTATAGAAACCTGTCAGGACAGCTACCCACAAAGATGAAGCTCCTATCACCCTTTTTCTAGAAGCGGCATTACTTCCAAGGAAGGTTCATCATTCTCTGTGATGCAGCAGACATGCTCAGCTCTGGAACGAGTGCCGATATCAGAAGTCCTTCCTCCAGTGTCTGGTGTACATGTTGCCTGTTCTTGGTAGCCGCATATGATTTGTTTTGGAGATTTCAGAACAGTATATGGCTTAGGCGGGTGCGATAGAATTATTACCGCAATAGTACTTATGGCTGTGAGACGTCATTGAGATAGTACTGGATAGGGATGCGCCGATACCACTTTTTTACGACCGAGTACCGATACTTTTGATCAAGTACTCGCCGATACCAATTACCGATACTTTTTCTTAAAGGGACAGGTCACATTTTTTCTAAAGCAATACAAACTAATGAATTAAGGTCAGTTTCTTAATATTATGATTCATGAGATGACGAGGGAGCATGACGCCGCCTTTCCGGCCAATCAGAATGGCGGCGCTGCGTCATTACACGCCGCCCGGCTTCCGGATTTGCTAGCTTCCTGACCAAATCGGGAAACCAGGCAGAGCGTCACTGCACGCTACCCGGCTTCCTGATTGGCCGGGAAATCGGCTCCATGCTCTCTCATCACAAGTGACGAGAGAGCATGGAGCCATTTCTCGGCCAATCAGGAAACCGGGCAGCGTGTAATGATGCGCAGCCCGGCTTCCTGATACAGGAAGTACTCGTGCTAGGTATCGGAGCATTTGGGCGAGTACGAGTACTTACCCAAATACTCGGTATCGGCACCGATACTAGTATCGGTATCGGTGCATCCCTGGTACTGGACATTTCCCCTGAGGTTTATGGGCTAGGTTCAGATTGAAGAGTTTGTTTTAGTGTATAGAAACCCTAATTAAAAAAACACACACACAAATGTGTGTGACATAATGCATCACCGACTGTCTTTTCCACAAGCAAATTATTTTTTATATTTTTTTTCCCCCGTTTATTTTGTTGAGATCTTTTCAGGAAAGCCATTGTTGAGTTTGCTTCATATTGCAGACTGACAATGCCAAAGCCACTGCCTTGTAATCACCAGCAATGTTGGTACGACCTATAGATGGTTGCGCCAAAGAACAGTGTCCCCTGTAGTCTCCACACCGTCAGAGAATGTCAGCACGTTCCTAAGCGCTTGCCAATTCTCCCACACTGTCATGTCAGATAACGCTTGCCCTTTCACTTAGAAACACAAGGCAATATTAAACATGTACTTCTGGATTGCCTCACTCGTCATGGATAGGGGCAGTATAACCCGCTCGGTGGTATATTTAGATGAGCACAGTTTTAGAGGTTTCAATTTTAACAAAGCAATTTCACATTGACATAGTATTAGTATATTTTCATGGAGAACGTTTAAAGTGTATCTCCACTTTTACAGTCAAATTGGAGAAAACCCCTCCATGTGTTTGTTAGGTGTTCATGTTCACACAGTATACTAAAAAAAATACATTTAAAGAAAAACAAATCTTACCTTTTAGATGTTTTGTTAAGGCAGGCAAGATGGCCGATTCCAAGTTTTTTTTTTAGTTTTTTTTTTTTTAGCCCTTTCACAGTGATATGTCCTAATGGAAAGGCTAGGGACTGAAATTTGAGGATTGTATTTATCTGATAAGCTTCTTTATATCATACAATGGACAACCCACCTCAGACCCATCACAGCCCCATAACATCTCAAAGAAATAAATGTGTGTGTGTGTGTATATGTATATATATATATATATATATACACTGAGTGGCCAGATTATTATGACCACCCCATCAGTACTTCGTTGGGCCGCCTCGTGACTCCACGAGATGGTGAAAGGTGATGCGAGTAATCTGACACGGCACTGTGGCCCTTCTGTTGTCTTGTACCAGTCTTGCCACTCTCCGTTCTGCCCTAACATTGACTAGTCGCTGACAGCCACAATTCGCACGCTCAGACCCAGATTTTCGGCTGACAGTCCGGTCTTTAAACACTTTAACAAGAGCTGCTCTTGAACATTTAACGAATTCTGCTGTTTTGCTGATACTCGCTCCATGGCTCCGAGCGCCAACAATCATCCCGCGTTCAAAGGCGGTTAAATCGCATTGTTTCCCCGTATCTTCAGATAAAAATCACTTCCACTGTCGTGGTAAACAACCTGGTTCCCTATTTATAATGGTCTGGCCCCTCCCCTATTTATAATGTCCTCTAGCAACTTCAGCGTGAAATTATAGCTAATTATAGCTAATTTGCCTACAAACCTCAGGTGGTCATAATAATCCTGCCACTCAGTATATATTTATTGTTTTTGACAACAGTGACTTTTCCCTTTGTCATTTTTTCATAAAGTCCATTTTTGTAGAACATTGTGGAATTTTGCCATCTCAGCACCTCCATTAGGGTTACTCTTAGACTCTCAGAGGCTTCTCTGACCTAAGCCCAGCTCATCTGAGAAGTTTTCATGAATAACCTTGAGATTGAAGCTTAAAAAAAAATATTGTGCAGGTGATGTTCAGAGGTTGGGGGGTATATGTGTGTATACATACAGTATATACTAGGGATGCACCAATACTATTTTTTTTTAAGAGCCAGTCCAACTACCAATACTTTTTCTAAAACAATACAGACTAATGATTTTAGGACACTGGTTTTGCACCGGGATCCGGTCGCAGCTGCAACCCTGGTTGTTCTGTCACTAACTCCAAGCTGTAGAGGGACTACAAATCTAAGTCATACATTATATAGCAATGCAGAATACCACCAGCTACAGAGGACTACCAATCTCAACAACACATTATACAGCAATGCAGAATACCACCAGCTACAGAGGACTACCAATCTCAACAATACATTATACAGCAATGCAGTATACCACCAGCTATAGAGGACTACATTTCTCAGCAACACATTATACAGCAATGCAGAATAATACCCTCATCTATAGAGGACTACGAATCCCAGTAATACATTATACAGCAATGGAGAATAATATGAAGCTACATATTCTGTGCTGCTCCAGGGCGTTGGCCTGCTGTCTCCGGGGTCTCAGGAGGGCTGTGCAGCGACTCAGCAGAGTGATGGAGGGTCTCAGCATCACTATGGAGGGTCTCCCTAGGGGTCCATAGGGTTGTGCAGGCAGTGGAAGCACTGTAAGCAATGCTGCATGGTTCCCCAGGAAAAAAGGGGGAGATGTGCAGGCTGGTGCTGTAAACATGTGCCCAGCAAGCGCGGGACCTCAGGCAGCCTCTTCAGTTAAAAAATTTGAAGCACCGGTATCTGCGTTTAGTATACGGGCATCACTGGTGAAAATGTCCAGTATCGATACCGATATGGTATTGGTGCATCCCTACTATATACAAACATTGACATACTTGTTTGTACCCTTCCACAAAAATAGGACCAACAATTTTCTCTGAAATGACTTGAAACTGAACAGAGTCATTGGCATCAATCACAGTTTTTTTTTAGTTTTTTTCCATTTTGAATAAAAGTCAGACTTTATTTTTGATTTTTTGTTCAATTGAATATTTTAAATAATACAGCAAAGACAAATGGCGAGGACAACAATGACGGGACGATTAACCTGATATTGTGTTGCACAACCTTTGGAGGCAAGCACTGCAAACAAGTGAATTATTTAGCTCTCAGTGAGACCTCTGTATCTGCCAACGGGTAGTTTGGCTGACTCTTCTTGAGAAAAGCGCTCCAGCTGTCTGGTTTGAACGGTGCCTTCTGCAGGCTCCATGTTTCAGCTCTTTTCATAGCTGTTCAATAAGATTCAAATCAGGGCTCATAGAAGCCCTCTTCAGAATATTCCAATGTTTTGTGCTTAGCCATTATTGGGTTATTTTAGCCGTGTGTTTTGGGTCACTATCCTGTGGGAGGACCTATGACCCGCGACTGAGATAAAGCGTTCAGACTGACACTGGACAATATTTACCGCTCTAGAATTTCTTGATAGTCTTGAGATTGCATTGTGCCCTACACAGTTTGAAGGCATCCCATGCCAGAAGCAGTAAAGCAGCCCAAAAACATAACCAAACCTCCATTTTTCACAGTAGGCAGGTGTTCTTTTCTTTAAAAGCTCATTGTTTTGTCCATGAACACATTCCTGACGCGGGTTTCCAAAAAGCTCCGGTTTTGTCTCAGCTATCCAAAGTACATTCTCCCAGAAGCTTTGTGACTTGTCAAAACGCACTTTAGCCATTTTAAATCTGGCTTTTTATGTGTTTCAACGGTGGAGTCCTCCTGGGTCTTCTTCTTTTAGGCTCAAGAATCAACGGATGGTGCGATCAGACACTGACGTACCTTGACCTTGGAGTTTTCCTTGTATCTCTTTGAAACTTTTATTTGGCTCTCTGTCTACCATTCACACGATCCTTCTGTCCAGTCTAGAGTTGATTTCTTGCAGCCACGTCCAGGGTGGTTGTCTTCACCCCCATGGACTTTAGACTTCTTGATATGTTTCGCAACTGTAATCACAGGAACATCAAGC